CTGCCCTGCCTGAGCAGGGGCCAGCAGGTCCACCTGGGGATGGACTTCTTAGGAACAGACCTTGTCTTGCTGATTCAGCTTCCCAAGGTTATTTTTCTTTGTTTCTGTTGGTTATTACAGTTAAAAAATCAGCACACGTTGTCCCTTTTTAGGAAGCTTTACACAGGCAGGAGACCATGGCTAGGCTCCGTGGAAGAGCTGCCTTCTCCTCTCTGAGAGCCATGCCAAGGCAGGAGGGAGCACGCGGCTCCTGGAGAGCCACTTGCTGGATTCTGATCTTCAGAGCAGGGGCTGGAACAGAACAGGTAGCTCAGAGGCCCAAGTCATAGTTCTGGTCCCAAAGAAAATAAAATATCAAGGCCTGGAGGCTCGTAATTAACTCTATTAGAGTGATAATGAAGGCCTGCCCAGCAGGAAAAAAAAAGAAAAAACARAAACGCCTCCAATGTGAGAAGGTACTGGACTGTAACGTGAATATTTTTACCCACTGTTAGTGGTTAGAAGGCAGTGAGAGTGAGGGCGGATGGAAAAAAAGGGGAGAAGAAAATATCCTGAGCTCAAGCACCTTCTGCTTTAGTGCCAATATGAAGGAAACAGAAACAATAGCACAGCAGATACTTTCTTTGTGAAATGCCTTTACTCCTTCCTGGGCTGCTTTCGAACCGTCTGAAGAGTTTAGACTCTATATTCTTTACAGTTCATTAATGCACAGCAAAATGTGCCATTACCACTTCCTTTTTCTTTTTTTATTATTATTAGATTTGGCTTTAAAATTAGTCTTCCTCAGCATTTCTTGCAAAAGAGCTGATGGGATGGTTCTTTAGGAGAGTTAGCTTTGCTTTTACATCTCCTTGCAAGTTTGGGCTCCAGCGACACGCCACTTTTTGCTCTTCCAAAGTAGTGCTTCTGCATACTGGTCTGAGGGTACTGGAGACATGCTTGGGTCTTGAGGCCACCAGAGTCCCATCTGGCAGCTTCTGATACCTTCTAGAAAATTGCCTCTTACTACAGCCAGCTGATGGAGCAGATTTGACACRGGGAAAATAAAGCATCTCTGTTGAATTTCTCTTACACAGCTTCCTGCTCAAGACATGAGCAAGAATCTTTTGCATAGTTTTGCATTGCTTGGATTCCCATAGGTCTAATAACCACATCTCACAGTGGCAGGCACTTCTGTGTCCCTTGAGTGCCTCTTCATCACTCTCTGGCTGTGAAAGATCTTGACGCGAACTAGGGAGAAGCCTCCCTATAAAAGGAGAGCTCTGAGTGTGAAACAACAGAACCCTCTTATCTGACAGGCTGTAGGAAGTAGGACATACTCATATCACTCAGACTGTGTGGGTTTGGGGTTTCAGAGGCAACCCTGACAAAGATGCCTTATTTAGAGCTGCTTTAGAATCATAGAATCACTAAGGTTGGAAGGGACCTTCAGAGATCATCTAGTCCAACCCCTCTGCACATGCAGGGTCACCTACAGCATGTGTCCAGGATTCCATCCAAGTCGGTTTGAAGATCTCCAGAGAAGGAGATTCCACAACCTCTCTTGGCAACCTGTTCCCGGGCTCTGTCACCCTCACTGATAAGAAATTTTTCCTTAAGTTCCTGTGGAACTTTTGGTGCTTCAGCTTGTGGCCTTTTCCTCTAGTGTTATCGCTTGCCACCACAGAAAAAAGGCTGGCCTCATCCTCCTCACTCTCTCCCTTAAGGTATTTATATACACTGATCAGGTCCCCTCTCAGCCTTCTCTTCTTCAGGCTGAGCAGGCTTTAAATGATTAAATCTGCTTAATTTGCCTACTGCCATTAGAAGGAAGAAAAGCTGCCTTTCTCCATCTGAGTCTACAGCTGGCAGGTGTYGTCCTGTGCCTTCCAGCAGGATCAGCACAGTCTTTTTGCCATTTGCAGTTGTGCACCACTCCCATCCATGCTGACAGAGAACTTTTTAGAAGACAGGGTGACATTTAGTTCTTTGGGATGCAGACTGTCAGCTTCCCTGGTAGCAGTGCCTCCCACCAGCTGTCCAGCCACACAGTGCTGCTGTGTTTTAAGCATGTTGCAAATGAATGCTGCTGAATTCAGAACCTTTTCACCAGCTAAGCATCCAGTGTGATCCCTCAGATGTTTCTTTGGTCTTCTTTGATTGTAAACCCTACTATATTAGCTCATAATGCAGGAAATATTGTGTACCACGAAGTCTCCCTGAGGTATCGTTTGTCTCACTTGTAAAACTCAGTGGCAAATAATGCGTTTACAAAATAATCAGCTAAAGGTTTCCTGTGTTTTCTGGTTTCTTCACTTTCAGGCAACACAAGCTTCACCCTTTCAAACTTTCCTCTGCAAAGCTGAGAGGTAGAAATTCACTTTGATATTAGTGAATACTGAAGTGGCAGAGAAGTGCAAGTGATCGTATGGTCCTGGCTTAATACATAGCTGTTCTCCAGCTGAACCACAGGCTCACCACTTTCCCACAGCTAGCCCACTCTGACTGCAGCATGATGGTTTGGTTCATCCAAGGCTCTCTGTGCTGCGCCGGGGGAATCAAGAGCTTGTATGCCTACAGTTATGACTGTCCTTACCCTGAGCATCTGGTCTGCTACAGGAAATAAAAGTCAAGTAACATGAATTTCCCAATTAAAGTCACTGAACGGTAACACTGGAACTCCAAGTTCAGCTTTATTTTCAGCCTTGACTGCAAAACCCTTTGGCTGGAACTTTTCCTGTGGGGGTGGCTCAGCAAAGGGAGTCTCTTTCCCCACGAAAACCTGGAAGTGCAGTGGAAATACTGAGGAGACACGTGGACATGGGTTCGTCTGCTTTGCTTGTGCTGTTACCAGATCTCATAGAGGGCAGCCCCTGCTGCCAGCTGCTTCTYGGGCTCTCTGCTTTCGCTGTGCTGGCCCCTTCCTTTTGCACCGACTGGAACAAGACGGTCTCAGCAGGGTCTGTGCTGTGCTGGTACCTGCGGGCAGAATTCAGCAATAGGTGCCCTGAGCCCAGAATGGCTCTGCCCTGACCCTCGTGCCAGGAACCTGTCAAGCAGCTGCACTGTCTAAACCATACCCTGCTTAACAGAGCCCAGTGCCTTCCTTTTTTCCCTCCTACTTCTCCCCCTCTGGGAKCTCATATTTCTCACCTCCCACTGTAGCACTTATTGGAAAGTATATCCTTCACCTCTGGTCTCAGCGTCCCCTTCCCCAGACTGGAAAGCCACAGATGATGGGGGAGGAGGGTGGCAGCTTGTTCTCAGTTCATCAATCTATCAAACGTGTCACAAACCTCAGCAGAGTCAAGCTGGCTCTGACCCTCATTTTATTTTCGAGCACAGAGGATGTTTGTCTTTGATCGGATATGCTGGATCCCATGGATTTCGTTTCATCACTAATCATGGACATGGGTTGAAATCCTGTTCATGAAATTAACAGCTCAACTTCCACTGACCTTGCTGGCAAGGTGGGACATTGGTTATTCTGAGATAAATAATAATGTAAGTTAATGCAAGGAGGCCACAAAAAGGGACAATCAAGGAGAGCATATTGATATCACCCTAAACATTGCTCCTGGTCTTTGGATTCACATATTTACTTTCTTGTAATATTAGTGCTTCAGTATGTGAAGTAGATGATTAGGGACTCCCACAAAGCCAGTCAAGCTAAACCTCAGAACCTTCTTAATAAGTCCCAAGATGTCTTAGAACAACGATTAGACCTTTTAGCTTAACTCACAGCTCTGTTAGCAATAGATAATCTATCTCATCCGGCTTCAGAGAAGACTTCACAGTCTCCCGTGGAAATCTTTCCAGTACCTGCTCTATCCTGCTGAACACTGACAGTCTCAGGAGGTTTGGAGTACCTGGGCTCCTGCCAGGCCCCCTCGGAGCAGCACCAGCACAGAAATCCAAGTGACAGTTGGTGATACAGCTTTTTACCTTCAGTGTCATCTGAACAACTCTTGGTCTAGCCTGCTTGGGCATGGAGGGAGTGCAAGCTAGACCAAGAGTTGCTCAGTGCCCTGCACAGAACAAGTCGGTGAGCTCTCAGCCCAGCTCTTGAGTAGAGTCATCTCTGAATAAAGCCTAAGTAACAGACATAACATCACAAGAGAGAGACAGAAGGGAAAAAGAAAAAAAAAAAAAAGAAAAAAGAAAAAGAGGTAGATGGGTAGGAGGAAGAACACAGCAGATGGAACAGCGAGGAAAGATCATGCTCAGGGCTTACTGTTAGTGCATAACATGTATCAGCATTTCATAACTAGTAGTCTGTGCTGTAGAGCAGCAGCTCTAAAGGCCCTCTCCATCCAACAAACCTTGCCACAGCAGAGCTGGGATGGAGCTTTTAGAGAAGAATCACTGCAGCACTAGTCAAAATTCTTGTATTCAACAGGCATTGCCTCCTGTCCTCACAAAGGTGAGGACTCAGCGTTGTAATGGCCAGAAACACTCTCCTGCAGCCATATCATGGCACCTCGCTGGCCTCCGGAGCCCAATTCCTGAAATTAAATACTAGGGCAGAGGTTTTCAATTTCCAAAACAGCCAACATGCTGGAGAGTGGCCAGAGGCTGTGGGTACACACAGCAAGGGTGGGGTGGGGGGAGAAACTTTCTGCCTACAGGGAGAGCAGGATGCGTGACAGCAGGTCTACAGCACTCAGCTGGAGCAAAATCACCCAGAGATCATCAGCCTGATAGCAGGACTTAGTGCAGGGAGGGCCAGGCTCAGTGAGTCACCATACTGCTGCTGCCAATCRCCGGTGTTGCTGATGGCTTTGATATGCCAATGAATGCAGATCCGGGTCTGGCAGGGAGATCGCCAGGTTAGTTATGCAGCCAGGCGCCCTTGAATCCTGGCAGCTGTTGATCATGTCTGTGCCCCTCACCCTTCGCAGCGCCTGAGCCCCTGGAAAGGGCAGAGAACAAACTAATGAGATCTGCCAACCTTTGCCACTTGTTACTTGCATGGGCTATACCCTGCATGTGGCATGGTCCTCTCCAAGAAGGGGATGAGGAAGCAGGTTTTCCTTCCTCACAAGCTCCTCTTCTGGGATCCATACAAGGAGATGAAATATGCCCAACCTTGGGGTTGCAACAGCTGATCCTTGCTCGCTGAGCCATGGTCAAGCAYGAAGGACATATCTCCAGCTAATTTCCAAGGCAAATCCAGACCAAGATTCTGAAAGAATTAGAAAAAAAGAAAACAAAATAAACAAACATACATAAACAGTCACTTCCTTCTTCAAGAGCACCAAGCCCTAGTAGGAAAGATGCTCCAGGGCTCTACTGTCTTCACACCTGTCAACTGCTTAATATAACAAAAGAATGAGTTCAGATACTTGCTCATCACTTCAGACCACGCCTTCTTAGCCTCCTCCTCACTCTGGAAGGTACCTCCACACTTTCTGACACAATGGTATTTTACCCTTTTTTATGGGGGTCTAAATAGCACTGGGATGGGCTCCCAGTCAGACTCAGTCTGTTAATCAGGGATCAYATTGCACCAGAGGGCGTGGAGAGGCCCTTGACACCAAAATGTTTTGACAATCAAACAAACATCCCCAAGCAACTCTAGGCAGTGAACACAGCTGATGCAGGGTAGCCAAAGCAGSTTTGAACTGTCCACACAGCCACATAACACAGAGCTCCGTAAATCCTTTCGGAGAAGCCAAGTGAACTCTTGGTTTACTGCAGCACACGAAGGCAGCTGCCCTATCTGCACACTGAGCATGACCTATGCTGGCTAGTCTGACCTTAGCTGCAAGCTAGCTGTGCAAGCTGAAGTCCTAGCACAGGCCAGTGCTGCTTCCTGCATGGTCTTAAGAAATCATACTGACCTAAAGGAGCAGAGCCATCATCCTCCGTGTCCTTCAACACAGTCAGCACTGCTCTGCGAAGGGTAAAACGGACTCATGCTGCTCAAAGGTATCTGCAAACAAAAGACTACACAGATTAGCTACAACAGCCAGTAAGCAACAGGTAGAATTTAGATTCTTTCGCTAGCAGCACTACAACTGTTTAAGAACAGAGGTAGCGAGTTCCTCTACTTTGCAATCAGGGTCTCTGCCCCACCGTTGCAGACAAAGCACAAATGCATGACCTACCTCTTGCTAGAGCTAACAGCTTCCGTTCGCTCCAGGTGGAAGTGGTTACTGGATGCAGTGAGGTGGTACTTGGGCTGCAAAGGCTTTAGATGTTGCAACTGGGTGCACGGGGGCTGCAGCTGGACTAAATTAAGTTCGAGTGGGCTAACCAGAGGGATTTTTGCAGGGTTTCTCCAGCACGATGTTAACCACAAATCATGAAGTAGCTAGAGAACTAAAGAAAACATTCACATCTGAAATGCCTTCTCACTGAGCAGGTCCAAAAAATAAAAAGTCCCATGAGGTCAAAACAGAAATGAAAAGTAATCGTTGGGGTCTGAGGTTCTGTAACATGCTGAGTATTGAAATGACTCATCCAGCCACATTTGAGCTACTAGATTGCGTGTTTGTTCAGTCCCAGTCTTTGGGTGTTTTTTAGCAACTGGCTCTATGAATTAARCTGTTACACTAGAAAACAACTGGCAGTAATGGAGGTGGAGTAATTTCATTAGATAACTATGACACACCAATGTGAGAAGGCCTGTGATCCAAGTTTTGGGTTAAATTTGGAGACTAAAGTTCACTTCAGTCCTTATTTTATCCAAATGGCTTATTCAGCTCAAGCACATATTTTGCATCCCTGTTTCCCCTACTGCACGATGGAATACGACTCCACGCACTCGGGTTGTCATAACTCAGATCCTGTCTTGCATTTCTCTAATGCCTTGCATTCTGAAGGGTCTTGGCGTGCTTCACAAGCTGCTGCATACGTAGCCAGAATCGGACATGTGGCCGCATCTAGGGGGAAAGATGGCAATAACCACATGAGCTGCCCAAGGAGGAATAAAATTCTGTCCCGGAAGAGATACCTTTGCATAATATGTCATTAATGTCAATCTATGAGCATCCTTGCTAGCGAGCAAGCTGCTAGCTACAAGTTTAGCTGCATCTGAAGGACTCAAAATACTACTGCTGGGATGAGAACCTAGAGTTCCTGTCAATCTATTTCTGCTTAACCTGGTAGACTGGCAGCAGTTGTTTTCATTGCTTAGGTACCCTGTAGACCAATAATAGATAAGTATCAAAGTAGATCACAATTTTCCATGCCCTCTAGGGAGGGCAATGCTCAAAGGATGCTTTCAAGAAAGGATCCAACACCAGCTGGAAGAGAAGTGGTATTGCTAAACCTGTCACCTTCCCTGTCCCTTTCCCATCAGCTGCTGGCCACTACTCCTCACTGTCTCACATTTCTGTTTCCCGCATCTGATACCAGATTCCAGGTAACTTCAGTAACACCTATCTGGAACCAGTCCCCACAACTTACCCTCTTTGTCCCCTTTCCCTCTCCCAAGACCTGGGTGCCAAGAGCATGTCCTCTGGCAGGCTGAGAGAGAGGCTCCACCATGAGTCCTACTGAGATACCAGCCAGCTAGCTGTATTCTACCACTTGGGACGGTGCCAACCAAAAGGCCGGTGACACTCAGCAGATAGGAGATGGCCAAGAGCACCTGCTCCCAATACCATTACTATCTCCTTCCACAACCTGGTCTCAAGTCTACTTGTGTTTCTAGTTTTGATGAATGAACAAACTGCCCATTCTCAACAGAGGCGAAAGAAAGGAAAATACCCTTTACTCAGTGCCAGCCTTTCCAAATACCAATCTTGAGCAAAAGAGCAGGAGGTGGACTCCCTTTCTCCTGCACCCCAAGCATGTGCAGAGGAAAGAGCAGTTCTTGCAGCCACGGGCACTGCCCAGGACAATGCCAAGCAGCCACAGAGGGCCTGGTTTACAGCTGCTCGTCCAGTTGTTCTGGGGTTCATCTACCTCAGCCCGAATCACAGCTGCTGCCAGGAGTGAACACCCTGCTTATGCAGGGGAACACTGCCTTTAGCTGCACCCAGCTCTTGGCTTTCAGGAAACCACAGCCCCGTTTTGCTGTTGTAGCTGTAACACGGGTGAGTATCTCCAAGCAGGCTCACAACTGGTATACTACAGCTGCTTTTTAGAAAGCATTTATGTTTTGATGGAATAACTATAGAAATACAGAATCACAGAACAGCTCAAGCTGGACAGGACCTCTTAAGATCATCTAGTCCAACCCTCCTGCTCAAGAGGGTCACCTATAGCATATATGGCTTCTGAATATTTCCAAGGAAGGAGACTCTCTGTGCAACYTGTGCCTGTTCTCTGTCACCCTCACAATAAAGGAGTTTTTCCTCATGTTGAGATGGATCTTCCTGTGTTCCAGTTTGTGACTGTAGCCTCTCTCTGTAGCTCTTGAGGCCCAGTGGAGGGTGGGCAACTGAAACAAAAATGAAGAACAGCTGATCCAATTCTGCATCCACCTGTGAGTTTTGATTTAGTCTGTTCATACCAGTATCATACAAGACGTCATGAAAACACAGCARCTGTGTTGTGCTAGTGAGCACCAGTCAAAGGCAAGGACTCACTTTGTTAGTCAGTGGATGTTTAACAGCTCTTCCTGTTCCAGTCCAACCTTAAAACATAGTTATGGTCATCACAGGCCCAGACTTTTGCCCTTAARCCAGGGTGGGATTTGAGCTGACCTGGGAATGACAGATCTAATAAAGTTCATGGACCAGTCTATCCCTGTAGGATGCTGTAGCTAAACAGGGCTGGTTTATTTTCCCCTGAGGGCGCATTTCCAGTAAATCCTGTGTCTAAATATTAAGCCTGAAGTCAACAGAGAAAGAAAGAGAAAGTCAGATTCCTTCCCAACTCCACCTTCGTTTCCCACTGTGTGCTGTTATAGATGCTTCCTGCGCTTCAGCAGCATTTTCCCATCTGCAACATCTAAAACATTCCCTCTCCTCTTACAGCTAGGGTCCTGGGGCTCCAAAACAGCGAGGCTCTTGCCTGATGTCTCAAAGGTGGTCACCTTTGTGGTTTGTGCATTTCTTTGCCAAGAGACGCTGAGGCAGATGGTCAGGGGTGTCTCACTCCTTCAGCTCTGGGATCTTCTGCCCAACTACAAGCAAAACCTGCACCGATGCAGGGCCAGACGTCTACACCAGCACTTGACACTGTCATTTCTTCCATTGCCTGGGACCTGTTGTTTTCAAAGGAGCAAAGGGCCAAGGGATATATTTGTTGATGGCTGTATGTTGGTTACTACTAGGACTGGCAGTTTTAAGGATTTTCCATGTATCGCCTGTCCCTCCAGGTTGCAGCGCACCGACCCAGACACAACACTGACAGCTGCAGGGTAAATAAATAAAAACAGAGTATTTTGATCTTGGAAGGGGAGGTGGTTGGGAAGAGAAGGGGGGGCTGGGAGTGCCAGACAGACAGAGCAGGATGGCCACAGCTGTGGAAGGAACAGATGCGGCACAGGGAGCGGGGAATAAAGTTCTGCAAATGTAAGCAATGCTGGAAAGTCTTGGAGAATGGCATGCATATTTGGGACAGGTGGGAAGTGTTTATGTAGAAATAAGAAGGACAACGGCTGAAAGAACACTGGTCACATTACCTGTGACCCAAACTGACCGATCACAAATCCCACGGGCCAAAACATCTCCGACCACCATTTCTCTGGCTCATAAGAGCCCATTTAACACAGGCAGGCCCTACCTGGTGCTCTGCACAGCTTGTAGGAGTTTTGTCCCTCTCAAAARGGACTCTAAACCAGTCCTTATAACTATCTTGGTTATAACACATCTCAATGTAGCACTGCAGTCTGGTTCTCGGGCCCATGAGTACGGAGCAGCACGGAGACSAGGCTCATTCTGGAGCCAGCAAATCTGCCAGCATCAGCTCTGGCACAGCTGGAGCACAGCTGGCAACACATTAACACAGCCTCCGTGCTGGCTGTGCAGGTCTGTCAGTGCAGGACCCCACTGAGGGGGGTTCCCAAGATTGATCAGTGCTGTAGAGACACACATTTAAATATATATTTATATATGCACATATATGTATATATTTATTTTTAGCCTAGCAGAAGCTAATTCTCCACTGTGGAGAGTGTGGCATTTACACTGTTAAATGACTACAGAGTTGTATGCACTGTGTTTAAATTCCCTGAAGCTGCCTTGCTGCTGTGAGGAGCTTTGCCAGGCTCCTACARGGCAGGTAGCCTGTGGCTAGCTGGCTCTCCAAGCCTCTGAGCCGCTGGCCCCACGAGCCAGCCTTTTGCTACAAAGCTGTTGGGGCACGTTTGTGCTCTCTTTGCCAATGGTGGTTAAAGAGGAGAAATTGCATGGCTTGTTCTAGGAGACCTCTGCTGTGCTCGAGTGAACTGCATTTACTCCTTTGGAGAAAGGACTAATCAAAACCAACAACATTAACAAAACCCCTTTTTCCTCCTGTCTCATTTCAAGCTTTCCGTAAATCATTAAGGGTTAGATTTTTTAAGGACCCTGGGGCATCTGCATCCACATTTTAAATTAATAGAGCGTTAGGAACCTGTCTCCCTAAGGCGCTATTGAAACTCCAGTGCAATGAGCTTTGCTGAGCCCAACAGGGGTGCACCGTGCAGCTCTGGCTTGCTGCAGGATGAATGCCTTCCTCACTCCAGCATCACCCAGCAGTGGTGAGGAGACTTCCCAAACCATTTTGTGCGTCAGTGTCATGGGGAGAAACAGAAACCAGGGTCTCCACCTTCTAAGCCTCAGGTCTGTCTCCCAATTCTGGTCTCCTGGCTGACCTGTGCTTCATGGGGCCCTCTGGAGAACAAATCCTTCTTAGCTGCAACTGTGTCACCAAAAGATGCTCAAAGGCAGCTTGCAAGAAAGTTTGAGCATTTCTAATCTAGTTAAAAGGAAGGCTTATGAACACAAAGTCATGCTGAGAGACATTCTCTGAATTTATTCACACCCTATTCCCTAGATAAAAATAGCTTTATATGTTAAGTTTAGGACCCTAGAAAGCCCAAAGGATAGCAGAGGATTATCACAAAAGGGCAGCAAGGCAGTCAAAAAGAGCCCAGAGGACATCTTGTACAATTTCCATGAAGAAAATAATTAATTCAAACTTTATACAGACTTCTATGGGAGCATCCACTCTAGAGATGTTCAAAGAGTCCTTTGCTGCTTTGGTCTCACTTTAAATCAAGTGTCCTAAAAAAAACACTTCGGCTATGCATTTCATTTCAGTTATACATGGTGTTTAAATGCCAAGGGATCAGAGAAAATATGGTTATTAAAGGGCTGCAAGACTTTAATAAGGCACACAGTCATTAGAAAGTTGTTGAGTCATGAAAATATTCTCAATAATTTGAAATTAATGTTTAGTGCACACTGTACCATAAAATGCTTAGATGTTGTGGCCATGGATACTAAGCAAAAACCTTAAGGCCATGACTACACGAGCAAGTTACCGCAAGGTGAGCTAGGGTATAATTTTGGAGCACACCACTCCAAAGCACTGTAAGGCAACTTCCCGTTTGCCAGCTGCCATTCCCAGAGCAGCAGAGGCAGCTAGTTCCTTGCTGAACATGGCACAAGTCTTCCTTGGAGCACTGCTAGCTGCAGGCATGCCTGTCTCCCAGTGACTTTGCACTCCAGTGTAGATGCAAGGATGGCTCAGCTGTGTGTAGCAGCTGATGCAATTAAAAAAACCCCACAGAATTATATAATCAAAGAGCTCAATGCAAAGGACCAAAAACTTCATGTGGAGATTCTGCTTCATCATATCAGTAAATACATTACCAATAAATTGTTGCAACTAAACATCAGGGCTCTTGCTCCCCATACCATCATCTGTATTGAAGATGTGGGGAAGGATGTTTAACTACCAAAAATTCTCTCTCTCCTCATTTTGGGAAAAACAAAACAAAAATACAAGAATTGGAATGTAGTCAGCTTCTGCTGTTTGTTCTGCCCCTTCTTTCCCATTGCTGGATCTTGCTGCACCCTGCCAACAAAAGTCATTGAATTCTGCTTATAACTTGAGTGAAACCAAAATTTCTGGATGTAATTATTGTGGACTTTTCCTGGTGCAATGTAGAATATTGGTATAGCAGGGTTCCTTCCCCTGATCAGGCATTCGTCCCAAAGCTTGCCCTCAGCCTGTCCAACACTAAGGAAAAAATAAAAAATCAGTCTTTGTAGGGCCAGTAGTTAGGGACACCCTAAAAGCTGAAGATGTTTCTTTTAGACTGACTAATAATCACTGCAAAATGTTCTCTTTTCTCTGCTCCCACTAGTGGAATGAAAGACGAGCCATAAGTATTTTTACTCTCCTTTTGGAAACTGCTTACATCCACTATTTAAAAAAAGAGATTGGAGCTGGCACCAAGAGAGCCCTCTTACTGCACAGGATACAGAAAGCTGGAAGACTTACCCAAGTCCTTCAGACTGGCCTCACTCCTGAAACCCAGACCATCTTCACAGTCCTTCCTTCTGTCCAGGCAGGTATGATAAACCTTGAAGAGGAAGCAAGAGATTAGAGAAGAAACAAGAGCTCTCATAATTCAGCAATTAACATTCACTGTCTCCACAAAAGCCAGGATTTCATCAGGTGAAGAGCAGCTTCCCAGGATGACTTTGGAAGTCCCCTTTGAGGGGAGATGATGATTGGGAGGAGGAGGGAAAGTGGCCTTTTCCATACCAACTACTTTTCTTCTCATGTGTCTTAAGTCCCACTTCTCAGCATGGGGAGCAGAAGTAGTCATTACTATGGGTTTCCTTTTGCTCCAAGGGGAGGTAGGGGACAGGACACACATCTCATTCTGGTATATTGCAGTCAGTAAAAATTATGACTGCCTCACTAGTAAAGCACAACCCACATCTCTACTTTTGCCTACCTCTACAATGAAGTGTCATTCTGATGGAGTGGGAAATACTCCATATATCCACCAACCTGTAGCTGTCTGTTTTAGGTACTTGCTGTATCAGTGTCTCAGGAGTTAAACTACCTGGAAGAAGGGGATTTTAGCAGAAGATCTGGAGCTGCAAATATTATCAGCAGTATTAATCTGTCACATCTTTCCGGGACTGTACATACCATGCTCCATCACTCTGGCATGTCATGGCCTGCATTGTTACAAGATGTACTGAAGTTGTAGCCAGCCATAGCTTGGCATCTCGGTGAACCTTCTGATCCAAAGAAAAACAGGAAGAAAAAAAAACTAAAAAAGCAAACAAAAACAACCCACAAACTTCTAAGCAAGTGCTAAAATATAATTCAAACAAAAATACTTTGAAAGAGCTCCAAATTAAGGGAGAGATAGACTCTTGAATACATACCCCTTATGGGATGCAAAATGATCCAGAACCCCAAAGCCTACAGCTTTTCTTTGTCGTGGCTCTCTCTTACTGAAAGACTTACAAAAAAATACAAAAAAAAAAAAAATTTCCTTGTTCCCATTTTCCTCATCCTGGTCAAAACATGGCCAGCAGCCAGGCAGTCTTGAAAATGTCCAATATTATCAGAGACTGGAAACTCAGCAGACTTGATCTGGATGAGTCCTTGGGCTCAGTGCTAGTGGGGTGCCCTGAGCCCTGCCATGGAGCTCATACAGACGTACAGACACCAGGATACAGGGAGGGCTCTTGGCCCTATTGTTGCTCTTGAGTTGCTGGAGAGGAGCTAGGGAGAGGAAAAAAGTTCTGGATAGGTCAAAAAAAGCCTCACAGGAATGGATGATCTCACTTGTCAACACACACACGCCCAGATGTACAAATGCATATAATCAACTGGAAAATACTGTGTGGTATAAAAGTTACTTTGGCTCAATCTCATCACAGTTGGGATAGTCAAGGCTGGTGTAGCCATGACAAAGGGCACTCTGCAAACACTTCCTACTAAAAGCCTTTCTAGTTAGCTATCAAGTATGGCACTTTATTATGCATTTATATTTTTTGGTAGGTGCATGTATTTTTCACATATACAGAAATCTGGATATGATCCAACTAAATGTATATGTAAACCCTACATAGTCATTAATATAATATATAAGCTCTCTCTGCACAGCATTTTATACAGATTTTTTAAAATCCCTTTAAATTGCCCCRTGCATGTATGAGGAGCAGGAGGTGGGGGAATGTCCCATTCACATTGCAGAAAGATGTCAMTCCAAAATAAACAAACAAACTAATTGAGGGCATCCTCTCCATCTGCTTGTGCCCCTGTGCACAGCACGTATGGGGGAACTGAGGGGAGTTAGTCTAGAAGCCAGCGCTATGGAGTTTTCATGCAGTTTGTCACAAAACAGCCATACAAAGTTCCTTCTGCATAAATTTTTCCTCATTTTCTGGGCTGTGCCACCTAACGGACACACACAAAAAAAGAAAGCACTCCTAACTTAGACTCCTTCCAGCATGCCAAAGTAATGAAGCCATTTCCATGCATTGCTCCAATGATGTATTGCACGATCTAAGGGCTCTTGCTCTGTTTTGTTTCCAAAGAGAATTTTGAACTGGGCTTCATTACTGTAAATAAAATGCATGGCTTCAAACACAAGCTTTCCTGTGAAAATCCTGTTAAGTATTGCATTCCTTCGCCTGCGGATAAGGTTGGATCTCTGGACACTGCTGGCAGTCCCTTTTTCTTCCACATGGGCATCCTGAGCTGGCYGGGGCATGCTCAATACTCAGGAGCTACAGACAGCAAAAGCAACCCTTTGCTTTTCCAAAAGCTCTAACATCAACTTTAAAACTATGCAAGAGCCATGTCTTAATAAAACCAGTCAATGAATGACAGGGAGAGAAMGGAGTTGTGCTGCTTCTTGTGCTGGTCCCTCCAGAAGCCAGCATAAAGTTGTAGCATTAAATGGAAATAGTTAACTACCTCCACTGCCTCCCTAGAATAGGAGCTGGTATGTTGTTTGCCTTAGCCTCTGAAGAAGCAGGCTAGTGTTTCCCAACAGGAAGGCCTGTCTGGATTCCAGACAAAGAGGGCTCAGGAACAGCAGCCCTCAAATAACCTACCCAGTAGGTCATCCCAACACTCAGATATTCATGAAAATTTGCCACCACAGTTGCAAATTTGCAGTCAGCTTCCCCACAAAACAGTAACAGAATCCTCAAGCAGAGATACGAATGAGAGAAGCCAAAACTAGTTATTTTTTAAGCAACAAGAATGGCCCAAACCTTACTGGCCTTATATGACTTTTAATTTCTAGTTCCAAAATTTAAGCCACTGAATAACTTGTCTGTTTTTTTATTTTTTTTTCTTTTTTTTTTTTTTACTAAGACTCGAGGTCATTCCTTTCTGTGTCCAAGCTGCTCTTCCAACATCTTTTTAAATTGCCTGCTTGTTTCCAGCAAGGGGACTCGGAGTGACAGGAAAACTGTAAGAAAAATTGTCTTCTTGCATATAAATCTTACTTTGAAAGGAGACGGTATTTTTGGAATTCAAGGCCTCATGTTTTTGTTTTTCCCATGATATTGTTTGTTCTGCCGCTTACAGGAACCCTGTGTCTCAAGAAGGAAAAAGCTTGTTCAACTCTAACCTGAAACAAGAGTCACAAGATAGAAATCTCCTTTTCCTAAACATATTTTCTAGAAGAAAGAACCATTTCCTTTTAGTTTAGTCTGTTCAGGACTTACTTTATTTGCCTACAGATATACCTGGACCCAGGATTCCTGGAAGGGAATTTTCCCTTCCAGGGAGCTTTACCCTCCAAAACATATATATATATATATATATATATATTTTTTTTTTTACTAAAACACTTTTTTTTTTTTTTTTTTTTTAAACTACATCTACACTTCCCTATCTGTGCAGTGGTTCCCCTACCTATAAATCACAACTAATGGCACATTGCACAGATAAAGATGTTTTGAAGTTCAGCTACAAGTTTTAAGAAGCCTGACTAAAAGCGTTATTTATTGCTGCTAACTCCCAACAACAACAACAATATACATCAACTTGCAAGAACGAGCCAGGAGTATAAAAGAAAGCAAAGCTCTGCCCTGAAGGCACATGCTTTAAACCATTCTGATGGACAGAAGGGGCATAGCACAGAGCTGAAGGAAGGAAGGAAGCTCAGAAAAGGGCTTGCTTAGCATCACYGGTGGTGCAGAGATCTCAGAACCACACGTCCTCAGGCACTAAAGCAAGGTCCTCCCCACTGACATCTCCCAAGGCCATCCCTTAGCCTGTGCTTGGCTGCTCTGACCCACCACAAGAATGATGAACACTTAGTTCTGTGCCATGGGTTCTGGGAGCAGGACAGACACCATGGCACAGAGCTAGAGAGCAAGCTTAAAAAATCCCTGACTGCCACTTAAAGAGCATGCTCTGGCTGAAGCCCAGTGCTGCAGGCTTTCCTCATTTTGGGACTCAAAATGCCTAGAAAAAGGTGACATGAAAAGATTGGAAAGATTTCTGTGCAACTGAGAGTTTCTACCAGTAAAGCCCAACAGATCATGGCTCAGTTCTGTAACCAGACACTTGCACTGGTTGTTCATGCACCTTTTCCAGAAATCCCTCAGCCACATCAGTAAACTCATTACAAAGCAAAGAGGGATGTATCAAAAATAAACTCAAATAATTGTTTAACACCTGGCTATTCCTGCTTCATCCTCCAAAATAGTGGAAAACATGGAAGTCAAAGGTAAGGTCAGAACCAAGCAACTTTCTCACTTCATAACCTTACAGGGCCAAATTCAACACAAGAACAGAGAGAGAGAGAGATCCAGGCTGCATTACAGTACAGGCATCTCCATCTCACCCAAATGCTCTAGGTTCCTGCTGTATTTTTTTAAGAAAAAATAGACATTTTTAGGGGGTAACTAGTAAGGCACATCTAGGCTGTCAGGTTAAAGGGGAATGACTCAGCCCCTAAACACACCTTTTGCTCTCTGTCTAGACAGCTCATRCATTGGTGCTGCCATGTCCACCTTTGGTCAGATGAATCCCCCTCTGAGAGGGGCATATCTACCAGCAAGTCCCACCAGCATCAGTCTTGATAAGCAGGACAACGTGCTGCTAGCAGGAAGGGGATCTAGACCCCCATGGGGATTTATCGGTCTTGCTCCTTAGCAAAGCTGAAGTCCAGGTGACTTGCRGAGTTATGCATGAAGTCTGGGCTGCTCCAGGAAAGCAGCTCCTAAACCCCAAGCTTTTCTCTGCCACCTTCTTGTTTCAGCAGCTCTGTTGCTCCCCTCCTCAGGCTGTACAGAAGGAGCAAGGAGCCTTCGAGACTGGTGCACAGGCACTGAGGAAGCTCCCAATTAACCCACCTGGTGGCTGGGCTTTTCCAAGCAGCCTCCAGTGCCTGGATGCATCCCRGCACGCCACCCTCCCCGCTGCCGTGGTCTCCAGGACAACCTCCATGTGTGTGTACACAACAGGACAGTCAGGTAAGTACTTGCATGCCACCGAGAATCACAATTTCCTTTTATTCCTGGCGTCTGGCTCTGAAAGATGAATGAAGCTGATATGAAAAATGACACCACCCTGCTATAATGTGACTAATTTTGCAGAGTCATTCTGAAGAGCTGATTACATATCTGTATACATATGCACGTACACACCTCGCTGTCCCTTTTCCCAATATCACTCAGTTCTACCAGCACTGCTCACCTTAAAAGGCTTGGGAGGAAGCCCCAAAGGTGTATGTRGYGCATTACAAGACTCCATAACACTTCTTAGGTGTTTTTATTTTATTTTCGCTATTCAAAGTCTAATCTTCTGAATCAAAGGGCCTTATTTATGTTTGCCCTTTAGGAGTAATCTGAGCTGGCTAGGGACTGTACACTATTGAGTGAATAGTTTTCATAGTAATATTTAATGCCTCAGTGCAGTCAAAAATTTGATATCTAGTCCCGCTCCCATTTGCAGTCAATTTCTTGACCAGACAGTACAAGAGGGATGTGGAACTACTGGAGACAGTGCAGTGCAGGGCTGTAAGGATGATCACGGGCCTGGAACATCTGCCCTATGAGGAAAGGCTGAGAGAGCCTGGCCTGTTCAGCCTGAAAAAGAGAAGGTTGAGAGGGGATCTGATCAGTGTATRTAAGTATCTTAAGGGAGAGAGTGAGGAGGATAAGGCCAGCCTTTTTTCTGTGGTGGCTAGCAATAAGACTAGAGGAGAAGGCCACAAACKGAAGCACCAAAAACTCCATGGGAACTTAAGGAAAAAATTCTTGACAGTGAGGGTGACAGAGCCCTGGAACAGGTTGCCAAGAGAGGTTGTGGAATCTCTCTCTCTAGAAATATTCAAAACCCACTTGCATGTAATCCTGTAGCACATGCTCTAGGTGATCCTGCATGTGCAGAAGGGTTGCACTAGATGATCTCTGAAGGTCCCTTCCAACCTTAATGATTCTACAATTCTATGATGACAAGTCCAGTAATAAAACTCTGGAGACATCTCTAGCGAGAAGGGTCTGAAA